TCCTCCACCCCATCCTGGGGGCCCCTCTCCGGTCGGCTCCTTCAAGTCTGTCTCTTGTGCGTCTGCGTCGGACCGTCACGTGTTCGAATCCGTACTTGAACCGGTGGTCTGATTCCTCCAGGATCTTCACGGTCTTCTTTGTAAGAGTGAGGACATCCTTCCTCCGCAATCTTACCCCCTTCTCCACCTTGGCGACTCTCCAGTCCACTGTGGGAAACGTCTGGTTTTTCTGTGAGCCATACTCGCTCCCTCGATTTACTTGGTGTCTCCGCCCAGTCAACCGCCACTAACTTTGCTACTGGGTAGATCTGTCCAAGCGATGCTATCATTCGCTTGTACGTCTCCACTGATCGCGCAGGCTAACCCCTGACACTACCCTGGTACCATCCTGGGTCTTCGCATTCTGGTGGGGGGCCTCTGCTCTTTAGCATCTCCTCCATGAAGTGCCTATGCAACTCGTTTACCACTCGTCGCAAAAAGTCCTTGGGGATGAGCCCATCCTTGGTTCCCTTGTCAAGGACTCCAATGAGGGTTCTTTCCTTCGTTACCTTAGCAAACGAGCAGTTGGACGGCTGCGGCTGGGCCTTCCTCTTCTTGGCTACTCCTTTCACCTCATATAAAACCTAGTCATAAATCGCTACACCTATATCAAAAGGAAGCTGAGGCCTCTACGTTCTCAACGCTAAATTATCCGTGGCAATGTTAGCCCATTTACTCAAACCGATTTGAAATCTTGGCAGACGCCTATAAGGTTGATAAGACGGCTATAAGACGGCCGAATTTACTAAACTGTCGAGTCGAGGAAAGGAACAAAACCCTCCACCTGTTTATATACGTGAAAAAAGTTTCAATGTTTTTGTCAACCAAATCATAGACCTTAATGGCAAGGATAACTTTCACATAATATCCCTTAGTAGGGATAATAATAGTAGTTTTAATAGTGGGCTTGTCCAGTAGTGGAAGAAATGCGATATAAATAAGGCAGCTTTTAAAAAAACAGAAATCCCGCTGGCGGTTGGTGTAGGCCAAGTCAGCAGAAGGCGGATATCTTTGCTGATAATCTGGAAAACAGATTTAAGCCGCTAGATCTAACTCCGATGGAAAATCGAATGTTTGTAGAAACACAACTCTTCCCTGTAAGCCTGTAACCCTGGAAGAAGTCAAGGCACAGATCGGAATGCTCAAAAACAAAAAAGCACCAGGAGAGGACCTTGTAGACAACAAAACGCTGAAGATTCTTCCCATCAAGGCACTACTATTCATAGTCCTATTGTTTAACAGCGTCCTAAGGCTGAGTCATTACCCGAGTGCATGGAAGAATGCTATCATCACGATGATACCCAAGCCTGGAAAGCAACCCACTGAGGTAGATGCATATAGGCCAATTAATCTCTTACCTGCATTGGGTAAAATGATGGAAAGAGTCATTCTGAATCGCATCCTTGCACTAGAAAAAGTAAGCAGAGCTATTCCAAAGTGGCAGTTTGGCTTTCGAAAGAGTCATGGCACACCTGAACAGCTACATCGCGTGGTCGATTTCGCTCTGGAAGCCATGGAAAACAAAATGTATGCAGTTGCTGTGTTCATGGACATTCAACAAGCCTTTGATAGGGTATGGCACGATGGTCTTCTAAGCAAGCTGAAAAATCTCCTAACGCCTCAGCTCTTTCTCCTCGTTCCGAGCTTCTTATCGGAGAGAAAATTCAGTGTGGTTGTCGATGGAGTACGCCCAATCTCAGCCGGTGTACCCCAAGGTAGTGTACTAGGTCCGACGCTTTACTCTTTGTACACATCAGATATGCCAGACTCCTGGGCCTGTACCGAAGTCGACGATAGTAACATGCTGATCGCAACGTACGCTGACGACACTGCTGTAATGGTCAGAAATCCAAGCATAGAAATCGCAACCTTGGGCCTGCAAGAGTACGTGACACGTTTGGAAAAGTGGACTACAGATTGGAGCATAGGCATCAACTGCAGCAAATGTGCTTGTGTCACATTCTTCATAATGCTAAAAAAAACTGCCCAGGCATCTCCATGCTTGGCTAACATGCTTCCATCCCTAGCGAAGAGGCTAACATGGAGACCTAGAAAAAGGAGATTAAAAAGATACCACCCACATGACCTTCCTTTAAGATTCATATAGCCGTTTTTGGTAAAAAAAATTTAAAATTAAAATAAAATAGAATTATATATAGAAAATAGAATTAATTAGATATAGAATTAATGTATAATCATTGATAACTACTTATTGATATTCCCCTGTAAATTACAACCCGTTCAAGCTGCCACAAAGGTAGCAGTATATCCGTTTATGTTAAATAAATATACACCTTTTACAAAAAAAAAGCTTTTGAAAAAAGGAATAAAGAATGGCTGGACACGCCTCAGGTGTTGATGGAAAGATCATAATTAAGAAATGTTGAACGTCCAGAGAAAAGTATTTCAGAGTGATGCAGAATAACTCAAATCAACAAACTATCAGGCATTTCGGAGAAAGTCTCGACGGATGCATTGTTGTTGGCTGCAAGTAGCCGCTTGTATAAGGACGGAAATACATCAAGAATTGTGTCGAAGCTGAATGCTGATGATGAGCTTACCGGGGATATTATAAGAACTGGGAGTACGGCCGGTACTGGAAGTACTACCAATGGAAACACTGCACGAAGATTTTTTCCAAATTTAGTTGCGCGCATAAAAAGAGTAACCAAATTTTAATATTCCGACTTAGCGTTGTCCTGCGAGCATTGTCCTGTGGACATTACTTAAACACCAATGCATTCGAATCGTACGCTAAGGAAACTGCCGAAATTTTTGTTAATAAATACACCGAATTTCACAGAATTTTAATTTTTTTGTGTATAATGTATATACAATTTTTTTATATAATGTATATGTTTCTTATTTGCTTCTTGCATAATATAAGTTATAATTCTTTTTCTTTCTGTTTTTCTTTAGAATATAAAAAATTTAATAAAAGGCTTTTTTTAAATATAAAAAAAAAAATATTAAAAAAACACTATAAATTTCATTTTTGTCCAAATAATGTACAATTGAGTACCAAACCGAATATAAAAAACCGATTGAAGATATATCTAATATTTCAGATGTTATTAATTTAATGCCGCTAGCGAGGCCGAATCGACCACTGTGCGACGTGATACCCCTGACATAGTATCGCCAGGATTTCACAAATTAAATAATATAAATAGCATAAGACTTTACAAACTCTTTACTCATAGGCTTTTCCTAAATACAATGTTAATTACTCCATGATCCCAACAATGGGCCCGCTCCGTATCCTTGCTGCTCCTCCTGGTTCTGCCCGGCTTCGTTGTCGGCGCTTTCTGTTGGCCGTTCCTGTTGTTACGCTGTTGCCGCTGCTGTTCCTCTTGCTGCTTTGCCGTAGGTTCCCCTCACACGTAGGCCTTCCTATCTTTCAGAACACACCCTGCGAATGGTCAAAGACTGGGCAGCGCTCTTCCTCCCCACTACACCAGGAAAACACCTCGCACACGCCACAGCGAGTCTGGATCGGGAGTTAGCTGCTGAATGCTGCCTCCGCTACACCTGGCGCGCCGCGCATACGCACTTACGAGCCAGGATTGGAAGTTGCAAGTGGTTGTTGCGCCCCCCACTACACCTGAGAACACCGCGCTTACGCGTTAGCGAGCCAGGATTGGAAGTTGTTGCCAATGACCGTGCGTCGCGCTTCCGTTACACCGGGAAAACACCGCGCATACGCACTAGTAAGTCCGTATTGGGAGTTGCTTGGCTGGTGACCGGAGTATTCCCGATTGGTCTATTTGTCCTTTCCTCACTTCCTAGCAGGCTACCTGTCGTGGTCGGGAATGGCCCAACTCGACTCCGATACCCTGGCCTTTTAGAGGAACCGTCCTGAATCGGATCCTTTAATAGCTCGTCCTTTACGTTCTCATCTTCTTGGGCTGTTGGACTCTCTAGAGGCGGTCCTTCAACTCAAACTACCGAGTTCTTTTTTAGAAACGCTCTAACACTTGAATATCGGACTCTCCAAAGGCAGTCCTCCAACTCAACGCTACAAGCTTCCTAAAGAGACTTGTCCCAATTTGCTCCAATAGGCCTCCCTAATAAGGAGTCCTTATATACTGATTGGAGTGTCCGTTAACCCTCCTGGATTCTGCTCCAGCCGTTAATCCTGCTTCCAAAATTACGCCACTTTCCAGTTGGCGGGTCGCCTCCCAAGAACGGACCTCTGCTGTTGCTATGCGTTGCACCGGCGGACTTCGAGGGCCCGCTACACTTTTACCTCGCCCCCTCAACCTCTTGCTCCATCGTTGATGCTAACCTGCGCGGCCGTCCCGAGAACCGTTACGTTCCACGTCGTCTCTGGTTTCTCCCGGCGCGCTGATCTCCTCACTGATCCTTCTCATCTTTACTTTCCTTCATCCCCCCTTACTGCATGTGTGAAATAGTCCCAGCGCTTGACCGCTTTCGCACCTCCTCAATCCTCCTTCTTTGACTTTGCCCCATGCCACCTATCTAAGCGTGTGGGGAGACTAAATGTCCTAACAAATGGTGACGTAGAAGGACCCATTGCAGTTTGACATATATACAATACGACCCTTATTTTCGAACCACAATGGTCTTTACCCTATCGTCTCACTATCTTCTCCATTTATAAACATATATTTTACATTTTCTATGTAATTTTTTGTAGTTATTTTTTCTAACTTCTCTATTAAGTACTAACTTTTCGTCAAAACAGGCGTATGTGGCACACTAAAGTACAATTATTATTGCTAATATGACAATAATCATTATACACTTAATGATTATTAGTTTCCAGCTTATGTTTTAATATGAATATGAAAAATAATAATACATCTGCAATTTTTTGTTTGAATTTGGTTTGAGAAACCTATTCGATATGGTATAAGGGTTAGAAAAGCGGTGCACGTGTTTTAACTAATATGCAAGGATTTTATGTAAAAATGCTGGATACAGCTATTGAAAAAAACTTTTCTTACTGAGAGACGAATCTGTCGTGCTCTTAAATCTTCTTTCTCAAGGAAATCATATTCTTCATATACATCCATATCGTCGTCATCGTCCAACACTTCAAACATATAATAATCACCGGTACGAACAGCATGCGGATGAAGACGTAAGTCCCTGCGTTTAGGCTGAGGTGACCGAGTAAAATATGTATTTCGCAATTGAGTTCTTTTATCGTTAACAGTTATTAAAAACCGCGTATTATTTTTTTTTATTTTCGGGGGTTCCTCTTCATTATAATTTACTTGACCAGAATCTTTATGGGATACTTCTGGTTGATAGTTCAGTTCATGATCTGAAATTAAAATATATACAATTAACATAAAAAAAATTAAAGAAAGATAAAGTAAATTTGTATTCTTTTTTCTAGACCAGGCCTTCCTATGGCCCACAATGTTTTATGTATTGAGCTTAGTTCATATAAAATATAATTTACTAGCTGACCCGGCAAACGTTGTTTTGCCACCAGATGACTTTATAATTTCTGTTTAAAATTTACTCAGTTCTAGACTTATGTATTATAAAGTCATCTGGAGCGCTGTGAACCATAAGGGAATAAAAAAATAACAAAAGGCAAACACTATTTTTATCTCAGCAAATAAATCTCTTAGCGCTATAGAGTGAACAATATTTTTTGTTAGTCCATCTTTAGCTAACACAAACAAACTGGATGGTTTACCCATTCGAGAGCATGCCACGTATAATTGTCCGTGCGAAAAACATAGTGTTCTTAAATCTAAGCCACAAATAGACATCGTTTGACCTTGGGATTTGTTGAAAGTCATTGCAAATGCCAATCTAATCGGAAACTGAATACTATATAGTATACTGAATAGTATAATTCTGAATAGTATAATAGGAATCCGTGGTATTAGTATATTTTCACCTCTGAACTTTCCATTTAAAATGCTAGCTTCGATTACGTTTATCATTAATTTTTGAATGACTAATCCCGTACCGTTGCACAGTCGGGGCGGGTTCAAATGACGAAGTAGTATAATTGGAGATCCAACCTTTAATTGTACATTATGCGTTAGCATGCCTTGCGAATCCAGTCAGTTCAAAAACTCTGTGGGAAAATTTACTACTTCGCCGTCATCGCTTTTCCTGACGCGCAACACATCCCAGCTGGCTCATTTTTGAATTTTAGAGCCTGACAATGCGGACATTTCTTGTCCATGGCACAAGCTACCACTTTTGAGTGAGCATAATACTCAATATCAGGCTCATATTCGAAAGCTAGATGCAAGAAAGATAAAGTAAATGTGTAATCTCTTCTCTGGACCAGGCCTTCCTATTTCTCTCGGCCGCATCAAAAAGAGTTGAGCCCCCCCGCGCCCTCGTTTTACTTCATCACTCTGTTTTCAACCTCACAAATATCTCCGCCAAACCATTGTATCAAATCAGATATCTAATTAACTATTGCACATATTTAAATCGAACAGAGTTTGTATTTAAGCGAAAGGGAATTTACGCATATTGCATTTGTTGTTTGAAATAAATAAACAAACAAAACCCCATTTTTTGTTGCCAAAATAAATCCAGCCTTGGAGTCTGCATCACTGCAAGTGCCGTTATCCTTTTACAAGGCCTCCAAGAGTTGCTGTCTTTCTTAAAAGCGGTTGAGATATATTGGGAGGCAATGCTGAACGTGCGGCTTGGCGAATGGGAAGGCATCGTCGTGGATTTCCAGAGCACGTACTAGGAGCTAGCTAAGTTGGATGTTACAGAGCTCAGAAGCGATTTGGTCGCCAACTTCAACGATGCGGCAAGGGAGGCACGTCTTATCCTGGACCAGGAGATTATTCGGCGCTTCACTTTATTGCCAACGAGCTCGACGCTGGTTATCTCTGCATTCGCTTTCATTTTCGATACATCGTTTGAAAGGTTTTGCCACCAATGTCGCTTTTTTTAGTGGAGGTAATGAGGAGTTGCATGAATTGTGGTCACTGTTTTCCATCATGATTCATAAGTCAGGTGGATAAGCTTCAACGGTTTATACTGTCTTCGTGAGTTGGCTTTATAGACTGTGCGTTCGTTGGAGCTGGAGCAATGACGTGGATTATGACGTCGCCTTTTAGCTCCTTTGCACAAGAGCTCATGTAAATAAAATAATGCAGCTGAGGTCCGTAAAATGCTTATCGGGGACGAGGCTTCGCGAAATTTGAGAAAAATTTCATTCAAATATGAGGGCACTAGCTAGCATGGGTACAACTCAGCAGATTACCAGCTTCATGGTTATACAAGTCCTGTTGCAGAAGGTGGATGGTGCCACGCAGTGTAAGAGGATGGAATTGCAGGCTGACCCTAAATCTTTGGATTCTTTTGCATTCCCATCGTGGGATTCAATCGCAACCTTGCAGATTTTTACCGTGCTTTGCGATGACATCTTACGCCATAAGGTCCCTGTAGCTTTGCATTTCTTTCTAATTACTCGATTAACGCATGTATGGACTGCGATGATAATTCACACACCATTAACGCCTGTGGGTTGTCAATGATTAATGAATGATTTTCAATTTCAATTTTTTTTTCAATTTGTCCGCTGAGGATCGGTTTGGTTAAGTAAGACGGTCCCTAATCCCACCATTGTAATTCGTCGACCTGCCGTTCGTATGGTTGCACGCGTCATAGCCCGCTGCATTAAACCTGGATAGCCGGCACCGTTCCAGCTCGCATCTAAGGCCACACTTTTTTGCTCGAGATTTTTAGTTCCAACAGCCCCGTTTCTCTATTAGCGTCTACACCCACCAATTCTTTCGTAGCTAAGGATAGGTGGTCAAAAAAAAAACATCGAACTACCGAACTGAGCGGACGTGCTTTGCCCGAGCTCCAGGAAATAAAACAAGAAAGGAAAGCTAACTTCGGGCGGAGCCGAAGTTGATATACCCTTGCAGTAAATTGTTGAAAAATTAGGCACTGAAATTGTTTAGTATACCTTTTAAATGGGATATACCTTTTAGCTTTATAGCTTTTTTTAGCTTTTATACCTATAGCTTTTTTATCATTATTAACAATACTATGGAAGTGATTTAACATTTTCATATGTTATAATGGGATTCCGGATATTAGGCTATTAAAGATCATAAAATTGTGTTTATTTTCATTTTTAAGTTTAGAACCCTTTACTTTTTAAACAACACCCAAATTTGTATTACGAGAAAACCAATGGATTATCCCATGATGACCTACTAACTGCCAGCAATTAGTATAATGGAAGTCCTCCTTCGTTAAATGAACACGTGCAAGGGTTTTCAATTGCGTAGCAGGTAGTGCAGGTATGAATGAAATTTATATGGGGACTGAGTAACTTTAAAATATCAGTTATTACCTTTTTTCTGATTGGTCAAATCGGAATAACATTATCCCTCAAATTTGGGCTGTAAATATTCGTAACGCCTTAATTCATAACACAACAGGTAAAACAGGTATGTAAAACGATCCTGACATTTTATTGCCTTGACAAAAAGGGTAAAACTGTGTAACCTTCAAGGGTTAAGGGATTATAGGTTTTTTTTATATTACCTAACTTGCCTATATATTGAAAAAACCACTAATCCGTACATCAGTCTAAAAAAAATTTAATCGAGTTACGACGTTACTCTGCAAGTTGAAATTCAGTAATTTAAAGTGCGAGAAAAGTATTTTTTTGCCTGTGTTCAAATTAAAGAGTGAAAGGTTCATTTTTACCAGTGACAAAAAAGTGTGTTAAAAAATATATGAAATAATTGTTGAAACATATATTTTGGTAAGTCAATTTCCCTAAAAGCGTCCCTTAATACGAGATTTATGAAGGAGGAATTTCCTATTTCCATTGTTTAAATTTTCACAATTTAATTTAAATTTTTTAAACAGCATGCAAAAAATGCCACGTGTTTCACGCACATCCCAGGAGCAACGCCGCCAAGCTGCTTTAAATCGCAGCAGAGCCCGCTACCAACAAAATGCGGTGGAAATAAGAAACAGGAACTCGCAACACATCGCCAATGTAAGCGCAAGCAACCCAGACTTGCGGGAGGAAAGTCGTGCGCAGGATTCCGCAGCACGGGCTCAGAGGAGACGCAGCGAAAGGATTCGCAATGTAGAGCGCTTTCGGGATACTGCAGCACATGCTGATCGGCGACTGGATCTTCGATTCCGTGTTCCAGAGAGGATTCGGGACATGGAAGCACGTGCGAACCGTCGGGAGAACCCGGAGGAGCGGCGACGAGAGCAGTTACAAAACACTGCTGACCATTCTACTCGGAAGGAATAATCTAGAGTACCGAAATCCGGAACGGGTTCGGGACGCCACAGCGCGTGCTATTCGTCGAGAGGACTCCGAGGAGCGGCGACAAGAGCAGGTGCAAAATACTTCTGATCATGCGACACGGAGGACTAATCCAGAGTACCGAAATCCGGAACGGCTTCGAGACGCCACAGCGCGTGCTATTCGTCGAGAGGACTCCGAGGAGCGGCGACAAGAGCAGGTACAAAATACTGCGACACGGAGGACGAATCCAGAGTACCGAAATCCGGAACGGGTTCGGGACGCCACAGCGCATGCTATTCGTCGAGAGGACTGCGAGGAGCGGCGACCAGAGCAGGTACAAAATACTGCTGATCATGCGACACGGAGGACTATTCCAGAGTTCCGAAATCCGGAACGGATTTCCTGAGAAATAGTGCTTCCTGCCTGAGAGAGTTACGCGGACAGGAGTTCTGCCGATTCAATATGCCATATCCTCCTATGCCCGAAACGCTTCTTTTGCATCCAATGGAAGAAAACGAAGTAAATGTTGAAGAAAATAAAACTTTGTTCAAAAAAATTAAGGAAGCTTTAAGGACCATTTCTAATGAAGACGCAGCTTTATATAATAATTTTGATTATTTTCTGACCCACCTTGAAACTAATTTTAAAGCCTACAAATTAGCCTTACGTTCCAGCTTGAAAAAGCCACAAATTTTTCTTCGCAGACAATTCTCCGACCGATTGCTCAATGCTTATAATAGAGATATTCTAGGCTTAAGGGGCCCATCCACAGGCGGCCATGTTCGGCGAACATGTTGTGCTCGACGAAATTTTTCCTGTGGATGGTAGTGTTTGTTGTCAAATTTTGTGTTTGTCAAAATGTTCGAATGGAATTGAAATCGTTCTATTTTGACAACGTTTGCAACAACATGCTCGCCAATGGATGACAATGTTGGCACGAACATCAGTTTGAAAAACGTTTTGGTAGAGAAAAATGAATAAAAAATTCCTGC